AATGCTCAATACATATCTGCTGAATGAATTAAAACTTACAAAAATGAGTCTTTGAAAACACTGAGTTTTATATAAAATTATCAGTCTAGGGATCTCCGAGTTCTGCAGAAATGACAAATGTTACAGATGAACTAGAAACTGCTACCCACAGAACGTCTGAACGTATGCACCTTCGTGGCAGGGCTGCAGGGCTGTACGAATGTGCGGGTGACAGAGAACAGACACCCCACGCAAAGCGGAGGCACCCGCTCCGAATCCACACTGGTGGACGGGGTGGGGGAGGGGAGGCACCTTGGGAGAATCTCCTGACTTCACTTTTTCTGTTTCTCATCTATAAAATGGTGGGATAATCATTATCTCACGAGATTTATACTTAAAACTCTGTGAAACTGTGTTTAAAAATGTTTGCTCTACTACAGTTGTGGGAGATACAGCAGGCCTGGCACGCACGAGGTTAAACAAATGTGAGTCGTTGCCTGAGAGTGTGATGCTCCACACGGGCCTCTCTCAATTCTTGGATAACATCCATTCAACTCCAACCCTTACATCAAATCTTTACATCTGAAGATCTCTGTTTCTTTTTCCAGAGGTGACACAGCTGGGTGATTTAAGGTCCTGGAGCCATCAGCCCGGTGTCCAGGCCTTATCTTCAGATTCTGGGGTCTGGGTGGGCCATGCCTTCAGGCTTTTGTTGTAGCCCCTCAACACTGCACTTTTTCCAATGCTCTTCATTAAATACAACCCTATTCCACCTCTGGGGCACCTTCTGACCGACATCATTCCCTGTAGTGCCTGGCACCTGAGACCTCTCCATCCTGGTCCTCAGAGTCAGTTTCAAGCTCCTCTTTCTAGAACCTCCCTTGACCTCTCAGATGGCCCTAAACCCCTAACAAAAGCCTCCTGGACTCATCTCACTGCTCCGTACTGGGCATCGCTGGTGAATAGGCCTGAGTCCTCCAGGTATTGGTCCCGTGGCTGGTCTTCAGGTGGGGTGTGTGTGTGTGTGCATGCGTGTGTGTGCGTGTGTGTGCATGCGTGCGTGTGTGTGTGCATGTGTGTGCATGCGTGTGTGTGCGTGTGTGTGCATGCGTGCGTGTGTGTGTGTGCATGTGTGTGCATGCGTGTGTGTGCGTGTGTGTGCATGCGTGCATATGTGTGTGTATACCCATTCCGCACTGCCCACCCCCTCCACGTTTCTCCAGGGCTTGGCCTGCTCCACTCTTTCCCCACCTCTCAGTCTGGGGTACCCAGGACATGTTCCTGCAGACAACATGGGCCGTCTCGAGCCTAGGCTGCTGCTCCATGCACCCTCTCAAAGGTGGGGCTCCGCGGCGCTGCTGTCCAGAGAGCTGCCACCAGTCTTCATCCACTGCAGCGAGGGCCTGGCTCCAGCAGTGTCCAAGGACCAACAGCCCCTGGCATCTAGCAAGTTCCCATGCTTGGCACCTCCCTGGCAATGGCCTCCCCGGCCCCCAAGGGAAGGCTTCCAGCAGGTTCCACCAGTGAAGCCCCTAAGTACCTTTTCTGCCATCCCCCAATTTGAGGCTGTGGCCGCTGCCATGGGTCAGGGGTTGGGAGGGCGCTATGAGTAGGAGAACACGTCTGTCTCAGAGCCAGGGGCAGTGGCTGTCCCTTCATCAGCTATTCCCCATATACATATATATTTGAGACAGAGATACAGGCTCTGTCCCCCAGGCTGGAGTGCAGTGGCGTGATCACAGCTCACCACAACATCAAACTTCTGGTTCAAACCATCCTTCCCACTCAATCTCTTAAGCAGCTAGGACCACAGCTGCACACCACAATATCTGGCTATTTTGTTTTTGTTTTTTGTTTTGAGATGGGGTTTCCCTGTGTTGCCCAGGCTGGTCCGGAATTCCTGGCCTCACACAATCCTCCTGTCTCAGCCTCCCAAAGTGCTGGGATTATGGGCGTGAGCCACTGTTCCTGACTCCTATATTCTTCAGAGTCCTCTTTACTTCTTATTTATTTATTTTTTACAGATAACAGCTTTATTGAGATGTAATTCACTTATCATTACTTCTTACAACTCAATCCTCAACTAAGAATTCTTCACATTAGACTTTCCCTGATTGAATCATGTGTGGTTTCTGTCTCCTGATTGGACCCTGCTGGATACACCAAGTTCCTGCATTAATGCCACTTCTAATTTAAGTGATTTGCAAAAGGGCTCCCACTTCCAACTGACCATTCATTAAACCGGTAAAATATTATATTGTATTTCACATAAGTCAGTATACAGATTATTACCAGTTCTTAACCTGTCCGAGACAAGCTAACTCGATATTATAAAAAAACTGATTGAAACACAGAGTACTTGAATGTTCTTGGCATTTGTGGTTTGTCAATTGCTGGGGTTTAAAAGTCAGAGACTTGCTTCCTTTATTTTCAGTGGGGTGGGTCATAGATTTCAGAATGTAATGCATAAATGGGAATTTGGATACCAAAAAAAAGGTCTTTGGACCTTTAGGGAAAGAGGGAAAAAAAAACACCCAAAAACCAGAAAGTGGGGGAAAAAAGGTAATTGGGACCAGAATGTGCATGCAAGTAAAGAATTCTGGTGCTAATAATACAATGTTTAAAAAACCTTCAGAATTGTTTAGGCTGTTAATTTGGCCATTTTGACCAGATCACGGCTCAAAGCTACTTCCTCGGATTCCCGGGGCCCTGAGGAGGGTGACGTAGACGTGTCTGTCTGCAGCCACCCTCGAGTTTTAAATATCCAACTTGTACGCAGCTCATTTCTATAAAGCACCACTGAGCTATGAAGTGCTGTGGTTATAGTTTGGGAAAAAAGCGGGCGGGGGAGGATTGTAGATATGACTGGGTTCAGAAGTTGAAGATCAGAAGATAGGAAATGGGCAAGTTCTTTTTTTTTTTTTTAAGATGGAGTCTCACTCTGTCACCCAGGCTAGAGTGCAGTGGTGTGATCTCGGCTCCCTCCGCCTCCCGGGTTCAAGCGATTCTCCTGCCTCAGCCTCCCGAGTAGCTGAGACTACAGGCATGCGCCACCACGCCCAGCTAATTTTTGTATTTTTTACTAGAGATGGGGTTTCACCATGTTGGCCAGGATGGTCTTGAACTCCTGACCTTAAGTGATCCACCTGCCTCAGCCTCCCAAAGTGCTGGGATTACACGCGTGAGCCACCGTGCCCAGTAGAGGAAGTCATTCTTGAGAGTTGATCAAGGAGCTCTGTCTGTGGCGTTCCCCTACCCGCCACGCCAAGCATGCATGCCCCACCCTCCAGTGCTTCAATTGTGCAGTATTTTCCACCTTGTGTGAGGTTTCACCAGTTAGATACTCATCTGCATTTGTTTAAGTGGCTCTCACCCTCTCTGCACACGGGCTGCCCCTTTCAGAGGTGATGTTTGAGCTGTCAGCCCTCTGCCTGCCCCTAAGTCTAGCTTGGACCTCGGGAACTGAGGGGGGTGCCGTCCCTGGCTGATGTCAGCGTGAGTTCACATCCCTGCAGAGGAGACGGGGCAGGTCTAGGGGAGAAGCTGAGAGTGAGGCCAGCTCACGCCCATGACTTACTGAAGACAGCGGGGGTTGGGGGTGGGGGGTGCGGGGGGGGGTGGGGGCGGGGAGCACGAGGGCTGGGGCGAGGGGGTGGCAGTGGATGGGGCCCTCACTTATCACGAAACCCTGGAGCGCAGTCATGGAGAAGCCGGGCGCTGCCGGGCTGTGCCTCGAGGGTCCCTAACTCTTTCACCAGCTCTCCTGATCTAAATGAGATCACTCCATTAACAACAAAAAAATACTATTTTAAATTTTTATGTCTGCGTTGCCTTATTCCAAAAAGATTTGAGGCAGTTCACAAAAATACACTTGGCATAAAAGAAGGTAAAAAGAAAAAAAGTAGATGAGGAAGTCATGGCGGAAGTCAGCACGGGTGGAACACTCAGGCAGATGCTCGTGTGGCAGTGACACCTGCCGCAGGCGGGCTGGGTGGGCGAGGCGCGGAGTACCTGGTCTGCTGCAAGTGTGTCAGGCGTCTCCCCTTGTGACGGTGGCCGGGGGCATCTAGAGCGGAGGCAGGGATGCTAGAGCCCCCCACAATCCTGCCCAGCCGATCGCTCACCCCCCACTCCCTACAGTGCCCTCGCTGAGGTCCACAGAGGGCAGAGCCCACTGCCCCAGGGAAGCCCGATGGGCTGGTGCTGAGGCCGATGCGGGAGGGCACTGCCTGATAGAGGAGGAAAACCCCAGCGGCGTCCTCCCTGTGAACCAGAGGCCAGCTTCCCCACCCTTCAAGGCCAGAGCAGGGCTGGGAGAAGGGGGCTCGGGAGAAGGCTCGGGCCAGGCCCATTTCCTTCTAGGGACTTCCTGATGTCTGAGGGCTCCTGCCCTGTCAGTTCACCTGGCATTAGCACCTCGCACCCCGGGACAGACCTGGTGAGTACGGCCCTTTCTCCCCGGGGCAGGGACAGAGGTTGGGCAGCCCCATGGAGTCGGTGTGTGAGTGCAGCTGTCAGATCTGTTTCCCTCCAGCCTCTCACCCCTCACCCTGCTGCATGGTGGCCGGGGCACACCAGAGGCAGGATTCAGCTACGAAGACCTGGCGCTGAACCCAAACACCCTCGAGGAGAAAATGTTCCTGAGCATCCTGGTGGGGACAGGCCGTGACTCCTGCTGTGTTGCCATTTAGTGAACCGGTGAAACTGCTAGGTACGTGTTGACCATCAGCTGGTCATAAATGGTCCTTGTAACTTTACAGGAACAAATAACATTCTGAGAAACTTAGACATGCACAAGGGAAATCAGAGTCAGAAAAACTGAGTCCTGCTTCCCACAGTCACAGGCAGGTCGTGGGCTCAGGTAGGTCAGGGGTCCTCTCGGACCCTCAGACTCATCTACCAGGGAAAACAACCTGGTCTGACAGAGAGGAAAATGCAGGTGCTCTGAGCCCCGGAAGGCTGTCACGGGGACGCTGTGTGGCTGCGATGCCTGCGAGGCCCTGGAAACGTGGGTCACTTACAAGCTCCGAGAAGCCGCGGACCACCTGCCGCCGCTTCAGGTTGGTCTCTCCGTCCAGGTTGGCAGTCTCGATGTGGCACAGCCCGTCGGGGTCGCTGGAGGAGAGCAGCAGAATGTCCGCAGGGAAGATTTCGTTGCAGCGAAGACGCACAAAGTCTCCCACGTGGATTTCTTTCCAGAATCGGTTCACGTACTTTTTTTCTTCCCTGGAAAACAGACTTTGATGAATGAAACTCACGAGACATCGGTCATGGCTGGATCTGGGTGATGAGCACGTGGGGCTCATGTGGCAATTCTTTCTACTTTTGCATAGGCTGAAAATTTTCATAATAAACAGGTGTTTTAAAAAGAATATTTGGCCGGGTGTGGTGGCTCACGCCTGTAATTTGAGAGACCGCACTTTGAGAGACCAAGGCGGGCAGGTCATGAGATCAAGAGTTTGAGACCAGCCTGACCAACATGGCAAAACTCCGTCTCTACTAAAAATACAAAAATTAGCTGGGTGTGGTGGTGCGTGCCTGTAATCCCAGCTACTCAGGAGGCTGAGGCAGGAGAATCACTTGAACCTGGGAGGCGGAGGTTGCAGTGAGCTGAAATCATGCCACAGAACTCCAGCCTAGGCGACAGAAAGGCACCCTGTCTAAAAAAAAAAAAAGAAAAAAAAGAGAGAATATTCATACCACTGAAGCCCACTCAAAGCAGAAGAGTATCCATAAAGGCCACATATTGTATGACTCCATTTACATGAAATACACAGAACAAGCAAATGCATAAAGACAGAAAGTGGATTTGTGGCTGCCAAGGGCTGGGGGACAAGGGAGTACGAGTCACAGCTTGATGGCAAGAGGCTTCTTTCTACGAAGATATGAATATTCTGGAATTAGTGACAGCTGCACACCACTGAATGCACTTGAATTTTTCACTCTTAAATGATTAAAATGACCACTCCTAGTTCTACACTCAGAAGAGCTGAACGCAGTGACTCGACCAGGCATAGCAAGCCAATGTTCATGGCAGCATCACTCAGAATTGCTAGGAGGCGGGATAATCCACGTATCCATGAACAGGTGAATGACAAACAAAATGGAGTATTATCCTTTATGAGTATTATCTCATAAAGAGAAATGCTATAATACTGAAGACACTACGCCAAGTAAAATGAGCCCGTCACCAAAGGACAACTCTTGTCGGTTCCGCTTAATACCAGGTGCCCGGAGTGGGCAAATTCAGAGACAGAAAGTGGATTAGGGGCCACCAGTGGATGAGAGAGGCACAACGGGGAGTTATCGTTTTATGGACACAGAGTTGCTGTTTGGGGTGATGGAAAAGTTTGGGAAATACATCGTAGTGATGATTGTACCACACTGTAAGTATCACTAATGTCACTGAATTGTACACTTAAAAATAGTTAAAACGGCATTTTATGTGCATTTTACAATTTAAAAAATGTAAAATGGTTAAAATGTTAAATATTATATTTTGCGTGTTTCATCATAATAAAAAAACATAATTAAAACACGTGAAGCCATGGGAAACGGGACTTAAACTGCAGCAGGTAACGAGACACTTGGCAGTTGGAAGGCCCCCTCACCTCCCAGGGACACATTCCAAGCCACCTGCTTAGAACAATGCCCAATACAGTCAGCCTGCAGAACCTACGAGTCACTATCAACAGATATTTAGATTAAAACATAATTTTCAGATTTCTTCTTTAATTTTTTTTCCTGGAATAACAGGCTAACTAATGCCACAAAGGTCATTTGTAAGAGTTCCTTGAAGGCAGTTTTTGGCCATCTTTAAATAAGTGGAGGGACACAAATTTATCTGAAAAAGATATATTACAACAGGAAATCTCATCAAGAAATCCTCCGGGTTGCTGGGTGCCATGGTTCACACCTGTAATCCCAGCACTTTGGGAAGCCAAGGTAGGAGGATTGCTTGAGGCTGGGAGTTTTAGACCAGCCTAGACAACATAGTGAGACCCCATCTCTGCAAAAGAAAAAAATTAAAAAATTAGCTGGGCATCATGTCACAAGCCTGTAGTCCCAGCTACTTGAGAGGTTGAGGCAGGAGCCTCACTTAAGCCCAGGAGATCAAGGCTGCAGTGAGCCGTGATGGCACCACTGCACTCCAGCCTGGGCGACAGAGTGAGGCCCTGTCTCAAAAACAAACAAACAAACAAACCAACCTACCCTCTGGATGATACTGTAAAAGAGTAAAAAGCACTAAAATGCATTTCATGTTAACCATAACCATCCTACTAATCCTCCCACCCCTACACCCTCTATAAAACTCTACTCTCGCCTGAATTCCAAAACAGCCAGGAGTTGGATCTGGAGGTGGGCTGTGTTGGCCACATCTGTCAGCTGCCTGAGCATTGGATGAGAAGTTTGGGGAGTCTGCAGAGCTAGGAAGCCACGCACCAATTTTCTCACTTCTATTTTATTCCCCTGTGTGGATTTGAGGGACCCCCTGGCAAAGTTCAAGAGGCTCCCAGGAAGCCATCGGCTGCCCTAGAGGCTGAGGGGAGAAGAATCCCCTTTCATTTTAAATCTCTGTGTTCTTAAATCCTCTAATTCAAGATCCACCAAATCAGTTACGTACAAATCTAATTCAAGATCCACCAAATCAGTTACGTACAAAGCAGAGCTCCGGGGCGCTACAGTGGGAACAAAGATACTAGACGATGCGGTTCTGTCCTCAAAAACAAACGCAAGGCAAGCTGTCGCCACCAGAGAGCGCCCTTTGGGGGCTGTGGAGTCAAGCCCCCTGAAAGTGGTCCCAAAGTCGTTCTTCCTGGGCTCACGCAAGCGTTCCTCAGAGCTGCTTCTCCCGCTGCGGCAAGCTCGGTCACCTGCAGGCCATGTGGTCCCAGCATGGTCTGTCCAGGCAACCATGGGGTCCTCTGGCCATGCAGTGGCTCCTTCCTCAGGCCCCAGCCCGAGGTCTGAGAGGAGGCATGGCAGTGACCCCCAACCCCGGGCCACCCAGCTTGCAACGGCCAATCTGACCTCCTTCGAGCACAGACAGGAAGCTTTGATGACTGAGACACTGACATGTCTAGCCATGTGCCTACTTGCTTTTCCAAAGGTCAAGCCTTGACTTCATGTCATTACAAGTTTTTTAGTCCTTCCTTCTCACAAGCACCTGCTGGGCTCCTACAGAGGACACGAAGCCATCTGAAAGGGCCTGTCCCTTTGGAAGAACGTTACCCAACGCTCAGTCACAGTTCGCTCACAGCGGAAGTCAGCCTGTGCGGAGCATCGGCGGGGCCGGCTTTGTGGCCATGGGGTCGGTCCCCAGGAGGCCGGGCGGTCCTGGGCCTCACCCTGGGCGGAGGAGGAGAGACACCGCAAGGCACTGTCTCTGTTCAGTTTATGTTAACTACATTCCATGTATAACCCTCATCCAAAATAAAGTCGGTTTCCATCTGCTTTGTAATCATAAAACAATAGCTTGCCTGCCCCATCCAGGAGGCTTTGAAAACAGAAACTTCAGGGGAGGCATCTGGGCTCTGAAGGAGATTCCCCCCAAGGACCCTCCACACATGGAGAGACCGGGGTGCCACGTGGAGACCTCAGGTCACTGTCCTGGTTTGCGGGGGCGGGGGAGAGGGTTCCTCATGGGCTGCAGAAAGGACGCTGGATTCTAAGAAAAGGTCCTGTCCAGGTGCAGTGGCTCACGCCTGTAATCCCAGCACTTTGGGAGACCAAGGCAGGTGGATCACAAGGTCAGGAGTTCAAGACCAGACTGACCAACATGATGAAACCCCGTCTCACCAAAAATACAAAAATTAGCCGCGTGTGGTGGTGCGTGCCTGTAATCCTAGCTATTCAGGAGGCTGAGGCAGAAGAATCGCTTGAACCTGGGAGGTGGAGGCTGCAGTGAGCCAAGATTGCGCCAGTGTACTCCAGCACAGGTGACAGAGCAAGACTCCATCTCAAAAAAAAAAAAAAAAAAAAAAAAGGCCCTGCAGTTCACAGGAATCCCTACCAGGGACAGACCCTGGAAGACTCAGATTCAGGAACCCCTTATGAAGGCACAGCGGGACAGGCCCCTCATTACTGCAGCAGACCACAAAGGCAAGAGATGCCTCGGGGCCCAAACCCTGCAACCACTCCAGCTGGAGCACCCGGCAAGGAGCCTGGGCCCGCATCGACCCTGCCATGTCATCACTGGCTGCATTTCCCTGACTTTTAATCTTCTTATGATACAGATCTATATACAGATATGTTTGTATATATAACTACATCATAGATATATATCTCATGATATAGGCAGATACAGGTATGTGTTTGTATTTACGTATGTGTAGCCCTCCTTTCCATAAGGGTATATCTTTTTTTTTTCCAGCCTTTCCTAATGTTCCCTGAACTGTGTCTCCCCAGAGACTATTTGGAGAGAGAGGCTCTAAAGAGGATTCCAGTTAGAATGAGGCATAAGGCTAGGCCCAAATGCAAAGTGGCTGGTGTCCTTATAAGAGAAAGAGGCAGCAGAGGCGTGCACACACAGCTGTGAGGACAGGGGGAACACGGTGAGGGGAGCGGCCTCAGGAGGACCCATCCTGCCCACACCTCGGTGTCTGACTTCCGGGTTCCAGAACTGCGAGGTGACACATTCCTGCTGTTGAAGTCACCCCATCTGTGGTCCATTGCTACAGCAGCCCGAACTGACGAATACCCTTAATAACGTCCATTCTCGTGACTCTGGCTGGAAGGAGCAGCTCACAGCCTGTAGTGACAGAAACTGAGGGGCAGGCAGAAGCAATGGGTGGCAGGAGGGGCATCTCACCCTGCAATTTATCCCCACGTGCAGGTTCTACACACCCCCAAGACAGAAATCAACCCCACTGGCACAACACTCTAACACCAGCCGCTCAGCACGCCCTTCTTGGGGCTTTTATCAGCACGGACCTCTAGAGACAGGAAGAACAGCCGGCCGGGGAAGTCTGCCTGTGCTACTGAAGAGGACATCAGGGAGCGGGTGTCCGGGTCTCCGGCCCCAGTGGCTGGAAGGGGGGCACCACCCACCTTGCCCAGGGGCAGGGTCTGCTTGGAGAAGGGACAGAGTCCAACAGTGACCAACTTTGAGTTCAAGAAGCTGGTGGGGCTGTGCAGGGCGGGCTCTCAGGAGGTGTCTCCAGCTTTGAAGACAGGCACACGGAGACAGAAATATTTGGGGGTCTTAAGCACAGACGTGACAGCAG